TCCTTTAGTAGCCACTGGGGAAGGGAATATTTTTGACTGCTATCCATTTCCCTACCCTGTTTCAGTGCAAAGTACAAACCAAGTGGCTTTTACAAACCGTTCATTCACACAGACACACAACGAAGAACAGATCACATCACATATATAGAGAATGAAGTTCTTGGATAACCTTCACATAAAATACCAGTCGGTATCTTCCACACTGTATGAAGTTTACATCTTGGGATGGTATAGGATCACACCCAGAAAGAATAAGCATACTTAGAAGTAGTAAGGGAATCATAAGATATATTTAAATAAACAGTGAGCAATACAAAACATGCAACATGTGTAAATCAATCATTGCAAATTCTAAGGATGCCTAGCCCGAAGACCACTGCAAAGCCTCTTCTAAGGATGCCTAGCCTGAAGAAGTTACCCTCCTCCCTCCGGACAAACCTCAAGGGATCTCTCTCCCACTGCAACTCTCTCATCCGCTCCACCTATCCCTCTTCTATCCGCCTCCCACTCTCTCCCTATTTATTTCAGAACCCCCTTCCCCTCCCCCTTTTCTGATGAAGGGTCTAGGCCTGAAACGTCAGCCCCTCTGCTCCTATGATGCTGCTTGGCCTGCTGTGTTCATCCAGCCCTGCACCTTGTTGTCTCGGATTCTCTAGCATCTGCAGTTCCTACTATCTCTGATTCAATTTTAACCCCACTGCGAAGCCTCTTCTAAGGATGCCTAGCCTGAAGAAGTTACCCTCCTCCCTCCGGACACCTCTTCGACCTGTTTGTTTCCTCTCCACCTATCCTCTCCTCTATCCCTCTTCTATCCGCCTCCCACTCTCTCCCTATTTATTTCAGAAACCCCTTCCCCTCCCCCTTTTCTGATGAAGGGTCTAGGCCCGAAACGTCAGCCCCTCTGCTCCTATGATGCTGCTTGGCCTGCTGTGTTCATCCAGCCCTGCACCTTGTTGTTTCGGATTCTCCAGCATCTGCAGTTCCTACTATCTCCGATTGCAAATTCAGTGTTTCTTTTGCAGTATTTTTCTATGTTAATGGTGCTTGTTGTCTTTAACCTAATTTACGCAGATTAAAGCACAAAATTCCACCAAGAAAGCATTTGTGTGAACATAAAGCCATAATGAGCTTCTTGTTAGAATATCTCACTGCAAGGCTGGAGAAATAAACTGCAGCTCCACAGTAAGGAAACACTGACGGCATTTCTTTTGTCATAAAATAACCATTTTGGCAGCATTCCTAACACTGAGAAGACAAGCCAAGAGAAACCTTTTATCATTTTAACAAATAGTGGTAAAAAAAACTCTCCAAATATTTCATCCTTCACAAACACCAAAAAATAAAATCAGATCTGTCAGTCTGAAGAAACTTTTAATTTTATTCTACTCTTTTTTCATTGTGACACACCAAGTTTTGTCTGAGGGTTGGTGATGTTTGGCCAGCACAGACCCAGACACGAAGCTGATTCCCTTCAATTGAGCAAGCTATCAGCATTTCATCCTAATCATCTGATGCTACCCTAATCTACGTTTAATTTCTTAGCAGAGGGTTCAAGCTGAAATTTCAGGATGGATGGTTTGTGGCATTTAATGGTTTTTCAACAAATAAATTCTGTACACAAAAGGGCGGCAGCAGACAGTCTCTCAGTATTCATAGAATCATAGAACCCTGCAGTGTGGAATTAGGTCATTCGACCCATCAAGTCCACACCGACCCTCCAAAGAGTATCCCAACCAGACCCACCCAACCCCGTAACCCTGCAGTTCCCATGGCTAATCCATGTAACCTGCACATCTTTGGACTGTGGGAGGAAACCAGAGTACCCAGAAGAAACCCATTGCTCAGGAGTCATTTACAACAGTTACAGTGCATCAGTGAAATCTGCAATTTATGATATAACTGTAGCCTTATTTTATTTTTATTCATTCATGGGATGTGGACATCGCTGGACAGGCCAGCATTTATCACCCACCCCTAATTGCCAAGAGGGCAGTTAAGAGTCAGATTGTTTGAATCACATATAGGCCAGACCAGGTAAGGATGGCAACTTCCTTTCCTAAAAGACATCAGTGAACCTGATGGGTTTTCCAACAATCAACAATGGTTTCATGATCATTGTCAGACTCCTAATTCCAGGTTTTTTTTTTATTGAATTAAGATTCTATCATCTCCCTCAGCGAGATTTGAACTGGGTGCCCAGAACATTGCCTGGGTCTGTGTATTAATAGTCTAGTGATAACACCACAAGGCCATTGCCTCTCCCTTAGACATTGCAAGTGCTACCTTCAAAACACACTAGGGAAACTATATATAAACAGGACATCATAACTGATTGAAGCATGGTTTCCTCGGACAATCATTATGATTTTGTCCTCATGTCTTTTTTTAAACAAAGGGACATAGAAGCAGGAGTGGATTACTCTCTCCATCAAGCCCTGCATTTGTGGTAAGGTCCATGTCTCGATTCCATTTACCACCTTTCCTCTCTCTTGAATTCCCGACTTAAAAATCCATCAAACTGCAAATAAACCATTTGAGGGGAGTGAATCCTAGGTTGCTAGTAGAGTTCGACATGGTTGAACTAAGCATGGTTTGCAAATGAGGAGGCAATTTAGCAATGCCCAGTTCATTTCTCCATGGACAAGCAAGGGTTAACACCCTTATTAGTCAGCTTATGATGGGCATGTCCTCAATGTGTGACCAAGAAACCATCAGAAAGATCAGACCCCTGGAAACTTTGCTGGTCAAATTCCAGCATGCAACTGATAGCTGAAATTCTGACACCTTTCAAAAGGACAGCAGCTGTTGATTGATGGATGCCAGAGGGCCCTGGGCAGGCAAGCTTCAACAAGCTGATCAATAAGGCAGTGCAAGGAACCAGAACGTGCTGAGCTGCTCATTAGGACAGACACAGAGGCCTGTGAAACGGCGTAAAAAGTAACAAGGCAACCGAGTAAAGATGATCAAAGCTGGGGGTTGGAGCGGGGAAGCTGAATCATATCAATGAACCAAACTGACTGAGAGGTGAATATTTTCATTCCATTTATCAGCATATACTGGCATTCATGGTGTCAGATGCTACAGAAATTTACAATGTACAAGAAATCTAAAGGACAACTGCCATTCAAGAAATTGCATTTAGGTGGCATTTTCAAAATCTCCTATCATTCAGAAACACTCACAGGCAATGGAGTTGTTTCAAATGTAGCCACTATTACGATACAGGAGATCTAGCAGGCAGTCAGAATGTAGCAGTTTATTTAGACATCCACAGGACAGTGACCAGATAAATCAGTTTCTACTGGGTATGTTTGAAGGTCAAATATATTGACCAGGACACCAGAAACGACGTCCCTCTTTTTCTTTTAGAAAGCAGAACCATAGGACTCTTGTGATGCAGTGGTAGTTCACCTATCTCTGGAATAGGAGGCACAGGCCCAAGTCCCACTTGCCCCAGGGGTGTGTAATAACTTCTCGGAACACGTTGATTAGAAAATATCTAAAACAGTGCCATGGGACCCACTGGTTCAGCCTCAGCTGGAGTACTGTCTACAATCCTGGGCACAATGCTTTAAGGAGATGACAAGGTACTGAAGAGGGTATAGTGCAGGTTTATCAGGATGATGCCAGGATTGCTGGAGGTCAGTTATACGGAGAGAGCGGAGAAGCTGATATTATCCTTGTTTGATCAGGGAAGGTTAAAGGGAGATTTAATAGAGCTATTGAAAATCATGAGAGTTTTTTTTAATAGAATAAAACAGGAGAAACTGTTTCTCAATGATTGTTTGTCGAAGATTAAGAGGTGTGACGCCTCTGTTATTGATACTTGAGTGATCTGTCCGATTTACACATCTTTAGGGTTGAAGGAATCACAGCTTATTTTTCCTTGACCAGATTTGGGTGTTTTCTCCCCCCCGAGTAGTTGCACATTGTGCCAGTGGTATTTTTGGCTCCTGGATTACATTAACAACATCATATACTACTTAGAGATAGTTTAACATAGCAGGTGGGACATGAACTCAAATCTTCTGGCTCAGGGGCAGAGACACTAGCACAAAGCCCCATCTACATGCTGTATACTGACTGAATGGGCAGGGAAGGTTTGATTTGGAGAATGAGAGGGCCCATCGGGAGAATGGTCTGAGTTGAAATGAAGCTAGTGGGGGCCATTGGGCTATGAATGGGCACGGAGTTGGAACAGAGGGGGAAGAAGGAGCACAAAAGGAGAATTGCTATGATCTTTTGAATTTACTTTCAAAATTTCCCACATTAAGACGATGAACCATGACTCCTCTGATGGGCCGTAAGTATTCCAGAAGTGGGCTTGAATCTTGGAAAATTGCAGGGGTCCAGGAGATGTCTATCCCCTCCCACGATGGAGTTTGGTCAGGCCTGCAGTTCAGAGGGCGGGCTTGTTATCTGTACCCTTATCCCCATCTCAGTGAAAACTGACAGTGGTGCGAATGGAATGGGGAACCTGTAATCCGCTATTTTTAAATGTTTCCGGAGCAACTTTGGTCCAACTCTGCAAAATTCTGGACATAGACGGGTGGTGAGAGAGCCAACAGGGACCTCTAAAAATGTGGCTGCCCCTGGTGTTTAGGACCCTGATGACTAAAGGTCAAAGTTGGAGATGTGAAAGAAGTTGAAGAGATGTGAAAATTTGAGGAACATGGAGATCTTGAATGGCTCTAAAACTGCAGGAGATTACAGATGGGGGAAACGTGAAGCAATGGTCCAAAGTAAAGACGATTATATGGAATAAAAACCGAAAGAACTGCGGATGCTGTAAATCAGGAACGTGAATTATATGATACAGAAATTTACGAAGGGAAAGAAAAGGAATTATTTATGAATTATGTTCACCGTGTCACCTTGGTCTCCAATCTTTAATGTTTCAATTCTTGGCAAAAAACACTACATTAAAAAGGAATTGTGGAGTTTAGTATGCGACTGTATCAGCTCCTGTGCCATTCTAGTGGATCCATTTAAACATACACTGGGGAACATGAAGTAATCCAATTGTGAAGCTATCATAACAGGCAGCACCTTTGTGAAACACTGCAGTGAGACAACATAAATTTAATCAGTAAAAAGCTTCTCAAGAGCCATTGTACAAATTAAACAAATTGCAAAAAAGAGGACACTTGGGTCAATCAAGTTGCTGCTTTTCTCCACTTAAGCTGCTGTGATTCTCCTCTCTCCCCATGCCCATTAAAAATCTTCGCTCTAAAGAGACTTTGGAATTATTACGGCTCAAGTAATTCCAATAACTCAGTTCTGTGCAGAGTTACAGCAAGGCCTTGTCTATTGCCCCTTTCTTACCTGGGCCACAGCCACCTGGGTCTGCTGCTGTTGCTGTTGTAGGTGCTGCTGAAGGAGCTGGATCTGGTGATGAACCGAGAGTGGGGTGCCTGATGGCAGCTGGCTTGCTGAAGGTAGCAACATTTTGGGAGTAGCCAGGAGAATGCTGGGACTATCGTCATGGAACTGAAAGACAGGGAGGGGAAAACACATGAAAATTATTGTCAAAAAGAGAGGAGTGGAATCATTTTCTCTCTCCATTTCTAACCTTTAATATTTGCAAGGTAGCAGCGCTTGGAAGCTTTCTTCTGCCTTGGTACAAGTCAGACTTTCTTTTATTAATTCGGATCTTACCAGGGGCCAATGAAGTTGAACCTTCTAATAGTGCTCTGATATTGGAAACCTCAAATGGTAGAGTATGCCAAAAAGAATTAGGATTTTAATCACTGCCCTTCGCGTCTGGGTTCAAGAAGGTTGTTTCTGAGAGCAGGGAGAGTATGCTAAGACTATTGATCGAGTGTCACCAAGTTTCAATGCAATTCCCTGCTAGACGATGCTGAGAAAATATTAAAGGGACACCATTGACAATAAAAGTTCTCCAGTTTGCTTATAAAACAGACAGCAAACATGTTGTTCGGATTAAATTGAGCTCCTTAAAATTATTGCAATAAGAGTTCATTTTTTCTTTTCAGCTTGACAAAGCATTTTCACAAATCATATCCCTACCATTTTTACCATGCACTCTGCAGAATTTTTATGCTTCCAGGACCAGGAGTTACAGGACCTTTACTACCAATCGAGAATGCACAATGCTAATGGTAATATTAACGAATGAAAATTTAATAAGGACTTTCCCATTCAAGTTTAGAATACAGCCAGAGGAGCTCCACACAAAACATGTGAAATATTTATCTCTATTACCACTTAATTTACTTGCTGTAATGTGGTATCTTCATTTTTACATTTCACTGTAACTTTAAATATTAATAAAGTCATTGCTATCTAATGTATTTTAGGAACGGTCTCCTTGTCATCCTACAAAAATGTAACTTCATTAAGTTATGAACTGGTGTAAACTTAACCAGAGGCTTTCACTAATTAGTCTCTGCTCTTGGCCTGGCCTTGTCCAAGCTTTGGTGTCCTTTTTCTGGATTGAAACGCCTCGACTTCATTCTGTTAACAAAATCACATCTCTTTTTCCCAAAGCCCTGGATGACTGCAGGCTTCCAATGTAGCTCCACAGATGTTCCATTTGCAAATTTAATCACTCATTTAGCTGCACGAAGGAACTTTTCATCAAGTCTGAATCCTTTTCAGTGACACTGGTATCGCCTTTGGGAGGGGTTGTTGAGGGAAAGCATTTAGAGCTTCATAAATAATACTTCATAGGTTGAAGACATGTGTAAGGCAACAAAAAGGACCAGCTGAATTAAACACCACAGTTTCAGAAACTGAGATTCAAACAATGACATCGAGGCTTTTGTGTCAAGCATGCAGCCTTGTTAATAGAATTCTAGCACCTTTCTACACCTCTTGTTGAAAAAGATACTGATTGCTTCGTACGTTCAAACAAAAGGACAAAAGAGAAATCCATGGTATTGAGTTTACTGCATTCCACAAGCTTAGATTCTCCTATTTAATCTGAGTAGAGTATTCTGACTCACTGCCCAGTTAATCATTCAGAATGTGTGAAAGTACAACACGATACAGGACAAATGCCCAGACACAATCAGCACCTAGCAGAATTATCATTTCTTGACACAAAAGCTGGGCAAATAAAGCTCAATTATTAACCATGAATTCAGCTCAGTTTATTCTTCCCAGATTAAAGTTCAGCTGCAGCTTTGCTAGCTTTTTAAAATACCTTTTCTAAAGAGTCTTGCATGAGGGAAACAGTGAGTAAAACGTATTTGCCAAATATCACTAAATCGGCGTTGGTTTACGCTGACTGTATAAGATTTTTTTTTAAGATTATTATTTGGAGTTATTTTCTAAAACAACATAGGATATCATTCCAAAATTCCATCCATTGTTCTCAAGCCAGTGGACCAGGTCAGTGACCTACTGTTTTCCACCACAATTCAACAATTAAAGATCCAGAGAATGATTTAGCTTCTTTTTTTTTAAAAAAAGTGTTCTTTTCAATGGGATATAGCAAGATGTAGGCATTTGTGGCCCATCCCCTAAAATCCCTTGCACCGATTGACTTGCGTAACCATTTCAGAGGACAGTTAAGAGTCAACCACATCACTGTGGGTCTGGAGTCACATGTAGGCCAGACCAGGTTAAGGACATTAGATTTCCTTCCCAAAAGACATTTGTGAACCAGATGGGCTTTTACAACAATCAATAACAATGACTGTGAAACTGTCACTTACACCATCCTTCAATTCCAAATTTCATAAATTTGAAACAATGCACCCACAGGATTAGCCCGATTACTAGTCTAGCCACATGCCCGTTACCCTCCCATCATCCTTCCAGTCTTGAAAGGAAGTGGCTGAAGGGGGATCTTGTATGCTATATCAAACTGTATGAAAAGGCAAATCCAAATGCCTTGTTCAAAATCATCCACAAAAATAGATCATAAAAGTAGAACTTAAATTGATTGAAGGCTGGAGGCTCAGAGCGGAGTGGGCTGGAGGCTGGGAGTAGAGTGGGAATGGTTGTTGGACAGGGGACCAGTGCGAGTGGTCAGTGGCTTGCGAGCCCGGTCAGACCAAGTGTGGAAGCCTCTTGCACTGATCTACTGCAATGTAATGTTTATCTGTAATCTGTTTATCTGGCTGTAATGTTTATCCTTTTAACTTTACTTCTTATTTTCTAAATTATACCATGAATCACTAAGGTAATGTAACTTTTTTTCTTTATTTCTCTATTTTGCACTTGAGATTTTTACCTAGGTACTTTGTACCTAGGACGGTGCCTTGTGCGGCGACGTCGTGAATCTTTCAGTACACGTGACAACAAACCTAATTCTAATTCTAAAAAACAACTCACAATCTTAGCACTTAGCTTGGATGTCAGGACTGCTTTTGTCTTGATTGGAGTCAACTCACAAACAGGGCACCTTTCATGTAGGGTGGTAGAGGGAAGAATTTGGTATCATTCAGAAGACAATGACATGTTATACCAGGAAGATTGTTGGCTTTTTACACGGATGTTCACAGAGACCAAATGGCCTCCTTCCCTCACGTTCTTCCAAAATTGGACATCGAGAACTTGCTGCTCAAATTTGCAGCAGGAAGATTTTCCTCTGTACTCCGTCCTCGTATAAGTCCCCAAAGTAACTGCAAACCTCTGCTAATTAAGATATGAAAGCTATAATTTCCAAGGGGTGTCTAACTCACCAGAATATGAATTACCGTAGCATCGTATTTACGGCAAATTACAAGCACTTCCATGTCTGTACTGAAAGCAGATGGGGGCTAACCTGATACAAACCTAGAGAAAGCCTCCCAGCCTGCCTCCCCAATTATCCGATCCAAGGCTGGGCAACAGCAATGGGAGTTCCAGAGTAACCGTGGTGCTGCAAGGCTGCCCATATGCCCCCAATAACCAGGAAAGGTGATATGGGGGACAAAAATTGAGAGTTGTACTGCCAGAAACTAGTCGTATAAAGAGATGCACAAATGTCAATGGAGAGCAGTGGGGCAACGATTTCCTCCCTTCACAAAAATCTTCCACACTGTAGGGATTCTATTCTGTGAAATGATTAGTCTCAGAATAAGGACGGCTACTGACATAATACACACGGTCATAAAATTAGGAGGCATTTACACACCAACATCAGTTAATATCAGTGAAGGTGATATAAAACAATATTAGCCTGTAAAGAAACTTCTAGGTAAAGTTACAATGCAACAAGTTCAAGATTCATTCTTACAGGTTACATCACTTGTTTACACTGTTGCCTTTAGTCTCAGTTGCCTAGGATTCAGGATAGAGCTACAAAATAGGGGCCAACATAAATGATCTTAAACTTCCTCAGCCACAACCAGTGGGAAGCATAAATTGCCTCCGCTGTGGAAGGTCACTGCCAGTGTCAGGGGCTTGTCACGGACCTCGGAGACAGAGATCCCCCTTCCCAAGAGGTGCCTGACAGTGTACCCCTCCCCCACAGGCGGGGTAATGCACCAGCGGTGGCCCAGGATCACGGAGGTGGGGTGGCAGGGAGGGACCACTGGTAGAGGAGGGGGTAGTGGTGTTGGTGTGGATGTGTAAAATAGGCTAGGGTGTGGCTCTCAGTGAGCACCGCCACCCACCCCACACCCAACACCTTCCTCTCCTTCTTAAATGTTTTTACTTATTAACTTTCTAAACCAACCTGTTTACGCCTCTGGAGCAGGTGGGACTTGAAACCGAGCCTCCTGGTCCAGGATAAAAGACACTACCACCATACCACAAGAGGGTCCAACAGAGAGGTCACTCACTCACAGCCATGCCTTCTCTGGACCCTCAGATTAGGAGACTGGCATGCTGCCTACTGTGCTAAGACAACACTTTAATCCAACTCTTGACAACCTTTCAACTACCTCCACCCCCAGAAAACCAAAAGTAAACCTGGTCTGCTTTTATGGCTCTCTATGTGAGAGCTCCCCAATCTGTCGATGGTAGGATGCCTGTAAAGTGGGAAGGATGTTCCTTTGCCATTTTAAAATATATTTTCTATTTGTTTTCACTCTGGAATATCCTTATTTAAGTCGGTATTAGGCCCTTAATGGACCATTAATTGTATACTTAAGACTGTAGACAGCCAACGAAGCTTTCAGTGGATAGACTACCCATGAGTCTTCTTGCCCTGAACTTAAATTGGCAAAGACAGGTGAGCAGTGGGGACCACAACACACACCCTCCCACCTCAGAACATAGCTCTGGGATGGGGCTGGGGCATTGAATTCCACCCAATGTAGTCGAGGAGATATTTGCTGTGATCCAACTTTAGAAACACAAATTCAATTGCAAAATGTAACTTCAAATTTATTTAGAAGCAGGTAACAGTCTAATTTTGTACCAATTTTAAACTAAGGATCATTGGTAAATAACATAGGTGAATGGATCATCATTGGCCGTGTGTGCTGTTGCTGGGGATGTTCGGAAAATCTTTTCTATTTACTAATTTGATAGGTTTTTTTTACTTTATAAGTAAAATATGTAGACTGTTGAAAGGGGTGGGGGGGGGGGGG